CCGATCCAGCCGAGCTCCGGAGATGAGGGAGAGTTCCGTCAGCACGACGGCGTGGTGACGATCTTGATGTTCTACCGGCGCAGGGCTTCGCCTAAGCTTCACGACGATATGACCGAGGTGGAATATGGTGGAGGGGGGCACCGCACACGACTAAGGAACGATCCGTAGATCAACTTGTGTGTCCATGGGGTGCCCCCTACCCCCGTATATAAAGGAGTGGAGGAGGGGAGGGCCGGCCCTCTACTATGGCGCGCCCTAGGGGAGTCCTACTCCCACCGGGAGTAGGATTCCCCCTTTCCTAGTAGAACTAGGAACCCTTCCATGTATTAGGAGTAGGAGAGAAGGAAAGGGAAGAGAGAAGGAGAAGGAAGGAAGGGTGCGCCCCCCCTCCCTAGTCCAATTCGGACTAGTCCAAGGGGAGGGCGGCGGCCACCCTTTTGGCCCTTTTTCTCCTTTCCCGTATGGCCCATTAAGGCCCAATACGAATTCCCGTAACTCTCCGGTACTCCGAAAAATACCCGAATCACTCGGAACCTTTCCGAACTCCGAATATAGTCGTCCAATATATCGATCTTTACGTCTCGACCATTTCGAGACTCCTCGTCATGTCCCCGATCTCATCCGGGACTCCGAACTCCTTCGGTACATCAAAACTCATAAACTCATAATATAACTGTCATCAAAACCTTAAGCGTGCGGACCCTACGGGTTCGAGAACTATGTAGACATGACCTAGAACTATTCTCGGTCAATAACCAATAGCGGGACCTGGATGCCCATATTGGCTCATACATATTCTACGAAGATCTTTATCGGTCAAACCGCATAACAACATACGTTGTTCCCTTTGTCATCGGTATGTTACTTGCCCGAGATTCGATCGTCGGTATCCAATACCTAGTTCAATCTCGTCACCGGCAAGTCTCTTTACTCGTTCTATAATGCATCATCCCGTAACCAACTCATTGGTCACATTGCTTGCAAGGCTTATAATGATGTGCATTACCGAGAGGGCCCAGAGATACCTCTCCGACAATCGGAGTGACAAAACCTAATCTCGAAATACGCCAACTCAACATGTACCTTCAGAGACACCTGTAGTACTCCTTTATAATCACCCAGTTACGTTGTGACGTTTGGTAGTACCCAAAGTGTTCCTCCGATAAACGGGAGTTGCATAATCTCATAGTTACAGGAACATGTATAAGTCATGAAGAAAGCAATAACAACATACTAAATGATCAAGTGCTAAGCTAACGAAATGGGTCAAGTTAATCACATTATTCTCCTAATGATGTGATCTCGTTAATCAAATGACAACTCTTTTGTCCATGGCTAGGAAACATAACCATCTCTGACAAACGAGCTAGTCAAGTAGAGGCATACTAGTGACACTATGTTTGCCTATGTATTCACACATGTATTATGTTTCCGGTTAATACAATTCTAGCATGAATAATAAACATTTATCATGAAATAAGGAAATAAATAATAACTTTATTATTGCCTCTAGGGCATATTTCCTTCACCATGGGCATGCCCATCCGAGTGCACCCTCCATTGAACACGGTCTAGTTTTGAATTTTTTAAATGACCCCAACTTTTGCAGGTAGGGGGCCATGCTCGTGGCAAGGATCCATGCCAGGTTTGAATGATTTCCGACAAAATATGCAAGTTGCGACACGTCTTGTCATTTATCTGCCTTTTTAACCGAGAAAACTTCAGGAAAGATCAAATTTGTCGAAAACCAAAACAACTTGGCATGATGCGTTTAATCGGTCATATAAGATCATGGAAAGATTTGGGGTGAGTTAGTGGATGCCGCAAAAACATGCCCTCAAATGGACCCTTCCTGCTTACCCGAACACCCTCTATTGAACATGATATATTTTCGGACATGCATGAAATGACCCTAACCTTTTCCAGTAGGCGGGCATGCCCATGGTAGGCATCCATGTCAGGTTTGAATGAATTTCTCACACCATACGCATGTTGTGTCACGTCCGACCATTCTTCAGCCAGTTTTCACCGAGAAAACTAAAAAATGCAAGAATTATCAAAAACTTAAACAGCTTGACATGGTGCCTTGATTTGATCATAGAAGGAGGTGGGAAAAATTAGGCCATTTGAAGGATGTTGAGAAACAATGTATCATCAGGTAGAGTATTCTAGCCGACCCGAATATCCTTCATTAAACATGGTCTACTTTTGCACATTCTTAAAATGACCCCAACCTTTTCAACCAGGTGGGCATGACCATGGTAGTCATCCATGCCAGGTTTGAACAATTTCTGACACCGTATGCAAGTTGTGACATGTCCGCCCATTTATCAGGCGTTTTTGACTGAGAAAACTCTGAAAAATGCAGAACTTGTCGAAAACCAAAACAACTTGGCATGGTGCCTTGAATTGGTCATACAAGGCATGAAAAAAAATTGGGGCCATTTCAAGCATGTCGGGAAAGGACATGCTCTTAGACGGAGCCATCTCGCCTACTCGAACACCTCTGTTGATCATGGTCTAATTTTTTTCCTTTTCCATCTTTTGTAGTGCGTCAAATATAACGCTAAAAAGACTTTGTTTTTCCCTTTCAACCGGGCTGGTTTTTTCTTTGGTGTTTACATGGGTTTTTATATTATTTTATTTTTCTTTTCTTTTTTCTGTTTCTTTTACTGATTTTGAGAAATGTTCATCAAAAATTCAAAATAATTTATCAATTTTGAAGAAAAGTTCATTGATTTGGGGGGAAAATCACAAATTTGAAAAAAAATCATTGATTTAGAAACAAAGCTTGTCAATTTATTTAAAAAGTTCAAAAAATTTCAAAAACAAATCGCCAATTTGCGAAATAGTTCAGTAATTTGTGAATAAAACTGATCAATTTTGAAAAAAAAAGTTCACTGATTTGGAAGAAAAAATGAAGAATTTAAAATTTTGTCGTCATTTTCGAAAAAAATCACTATTATAAAAACTTTACGCATTTAACAAACAAAAAAGAAAAGAAAAATACCAAACAGAAAATGTTGCGCTTTTCCAGTGTTCTATTTGAAGTATTAAAAAATACAGATAACATCTGACGTCCGGTTGTCCAGTTGGTTAGTGAGGCTGTTCTAATCCATGGAGGACATAGGATCGAATCCTGCAGCATGCAAGTTTTTTTGCGGTTTCATTAAAAGAAAGGCTGAATGGGCCAGCCCAGCGCGGCAGGGTGTGCACCTCCGTTCACGTACAGTGTATACGTGTTTCTTAGAAAAAACAATTAGCATATACGTGAAGAGTTTATAAAATATGACTATCATGCCCTTACTCACAAAGAGGTATGAGCTAATCTGAGCCGTCTTTGTGTTTAAGGGAGGTGTACCGAAGCAGAAGTGTACTCCCACCTTCCAGAAACTACCGAGAGAGACATCATGGCTACAAAATGGACGCGACAAGGCGTGTGGCCAACAGCTTGGCTCTATACTACTCCAATGGGACATGCCTTAGAGCAACTCTAACATAGTCACTATATTGCTCGATCACTATAATAACTATCAATATGATGGTTGTGGATCAGAATGACTCTAGCAGAGTCGTCATATGGTCCTGAGTCGCCATAACTTATAAAGGACGCTCCATATCGAACCCGCGAGCCTTCATATTTGGAGGCTCGGGGCGTCAGTTTTGAGCTCGCTCAAACCATCAACAGCTCATGCATGAGGGAAGTTTCACTTTCCTCCTCGGCCTTCTGTGCGGCCCGTCTCCTCTCTCTGCCAATGGAGCGGATGGCCAAACAACCATGGCATTGGGAAGCGTGCCGACTGCCCAGAGCCATTCCCGCCACATTTCTCATCACATTTTTTCAGCGCCCACCACATTTTGCCTCCGCCTGCGTCAATAAAGAGGTCGTTGACATGACCAAATAGCTCACAACCTCTACTCCCGACATCGACACCTATAGCACATTCTCCCTCCTTGTCGCCATGCCCCTTCCCATGCGGTCGGATTGGGTGCCACTCTCGAGCGGATGGTGGACAAAGAGCAAGCGGAGGATGGCTCCCTCATGGTTGAGGAGGAGGAGGATCGTCATTATGTGGTGGAGGATTTGACACCCTTTCTTTGGGATGCCCGGGTTGCACAATATATTTTTTTTGTGGGGTAAAAGAGATTTTCATTGCCTGGTGATTGTTTTTTTTTTGTGGGGTAAAAGAGATTTTCATTGCTTAGTGATTGGGGATCCAATCATTGTGCCCGGGTTGCACAATGACATCAATGTGTTGCAGCAATCTCATCGGCTGCAAGGTTGTGTGCGAAAGAAGCTCCTCCATGCAACTATACCATCAATGAAAACTACAAAATGGGGTACCATACACAGAAGTTTATGGAAGGAAACCCCTCCGTCCGGTTTTACAAGGCCGCTGGCATGCTTTCTCTCGATCTCCCGCCGCTGGCTGCGCGCGCGGCTGGATGCATGCAAAAGCGAACGGCGCACAACTGACTGCATGCAACAGCTGTCCACTAATTTCTTCCGTACTGAACTGTAGTTGCTACGCTCGAAAATCACGAGCTTTAAACCTGGACAGAGGCAGTACATACGTGGCAATTTTCCATCTTAAGCATGACGAATCAAGAGGGTTCATCTACACAACACAAATCAAACTGATTCCAAATAGTTCAGGTACAGACCAAGACATATACAGATGACAGCACTTTCTGTATACCATCGGATCGGATGGCTAAAGAAGAAACAGTAATTACAAGTGAACAATCCTCCTCGCCCCCATAAGCATGCCTTGAAGGCCAACACTTGAAAGATCAAGTGCAACGACCATGTCCATTGGTCTTCTGGCCGCAAGCTGAATCTTGTGACCAACTACACAACTTCCCCAGCTAAAGCAACCTGCCAACCAAATTCAACAAAGTCCCATGCTGCACACGTCCTTCTTATGTGCAGGGCGTCCATGAGATAATAATGCCGGATATTGCTTGTGCTTGGAGGAAGCTCCTGATGTGCTCGGGCCCTACTCTGGATCTCTGACGGTCTCATACTTTTGTGATACCATGAGCAACGACGAGAACTGCAGACAATAGTGACTAGTTATATTTTTGCCACCTGACTCCAATTTTGTTTGTAAATCTGACAAAATTCCAGTTCTAAAGCCATTCGGCACATACGTAGATCCAGTATGGCCTTTCACGTGCGGAATCGGAATATAGATATAGCAATCTTAACCAGAATGTAAGCAAACTAACCTCGGTGCCGCAAATTATGTTGTGACTGAGTGGATGGGCTGCACAGGAAAGCGCCCTTTCGGATAAGGGAATAAACTTGTTTTCTGCAGGTTGATTTTCCTCGGAGCCTTTTGTTTCCTCGCTGAAACATGGAAAGCCAGGTGAGGAAACAAGAATGAACATCGTGCATAAAATGAGCTGAATCCAAAGTTATTTCCAAGGGAATTTCTTTTTTATTTTTGTTCAATGGATCCAAGAAAAAAGCGATGAATTGCGGAAATTGTGGAACTTATCCACATACGTCCCAGCAAATAACTACACCCTCTGCTTCTAAACATAAGACGTCCCGTTGGTTCAGTTTAAACTGCCAAAACGTCTTATATTTGGGAATGGAGGTGGTAAAAGATTAGATTGCCAGGTAAGTTGACTCTGTCAAAAACAAAACAAACTGGAAATGAAAGACCAGCATACTTGTAGTCCACATGGCATGCAGAGCTTGTATCTGGATGAAAATCCAGTGCATACATTCCATTACTGGAGGAAGATCCGACTGCATAAATCTGCACAACGTAAACATATGACATGCATCATATGCCTTAATGTGTTTCACTATGTTTTATGTCAAGAAATGGAAATAACAAATATTATGGCTAGCATGGTAAGCAGGACTGCATCTGTTAGCATTCATGAAAATTTATTTTCTTCATCCGATGTCTCACGGGGTCCAATTATAAGAAAAGTGTTGCATGTGTTAAGATTTGAGGATGCCCTATAATTTTCTTACTGAAGATGTTGACAGCCAGGTCGCTTTCCGCTTATGCAACACAGAGCCCACACCCTCCCTAATAAAACAAACAGCAGAGAACCACAAAACAGTTTGGTCATATTTCCTTGGGAGAAATTTTTGTCACATTTGTAAAGCTTACGAAGACATATTCGTATGGAGTCCAAGTTTGTCATATTTCCTTGGGAGAAATTTTTGTCACACTTACAACCAAGCAGGAGGAGGGCAGTGCAGATGACTAACACTGAAAGTGTTGACATTCAGGACTCCAGACCTAACATGGGATGCAGATGGATGAGAAATCACTAGTAAGCACACATCACTGAAATTTATACAAGAAATGGAAGAATGAAGAGTAAAAACAATAAGAACAAAGTAACCATTGATTTTTATGATTATATAATGACAATAACTGAGAGGTCTGAGATACTTACCACCCATCATCAAGATGGAAGGCTAACTGATATGAGCAACTAGGGTTAAAGTCTATCGACAGAATTTCACTTGAAACAATGTTTGATTGTTCCTGAAAATAGTTAGCAAGGTGAAAATGATGTTAAACTAAGAAATATGTTTTATAGCCTTAATATTGTTAGCATTATAAGTTATCTAACGATACTCCAAACGAACTATTGTTATTCCTATATCTCAAAGCTTCAAAGGCAAAAATATCTAGCTTCAAAGAGAAAAACAGTTCCAAACCATTATAATTGGGATGGATCGGATAGATGAACTATACCATTTTGTAATATGTCTGAAAACAGAATTTCGGTTCATCAGATGGATGAACTAAAAATTTATTAAACATGTTTTGAAACATCCAAAAGCATTGTGCACCTTCCAATTGAGATACATTATTGAATGTTAGATTAGATGCTGTACAATAAATGTGGGTTTCTTTTCTTTTCCCGATATTAGAGTTCAGGGTTTAGGGTTTCTTTTCTGTTCCACAATCGAACTAGTTGACAGTTCATGCAGATGGCTCTGATATGGAATCATGTCAGTAATACTATTTGTATGTGAGGCTTCAATATGGGTCACAAGAATGGAAACGGATACATGAGGTTTCTTTAGCATAAATTCCCTTGCAGTAAGTATTTATCTTTCAAATACCTTCAGCGATGCAATTTTTCCCAACAACGTTGATATCTTCACTGATGACAAAGGTTGAACCTGGATGAAAATTTTGTCAGCCCAGAACCAAGGCAAGGTACAATAGTCATCATGTTGCCAAGACAGCTATGACATTGCTGCGTAAAAAGGTTCAAAATGAAGGACTGTTCTTTCTCTACTACTTTCTCTCTTATAAAATGGTACTAGCACTGTCACGGCCATGACATGAAATACAAAATAAATTGGAAATTAGATAGATTATCCTTGGAATTGCACTTCATAGTCTAGTCCACTAAACCACTACCTATTTCTAATCTTCCGCAGATCACATTTAACATGATATCTTAACAAGAGTTGTTTCTGTAATTTAGGGGGTTCTTTAGCATATTGTGAGTTTTAGTAGGTTTTCAGATTGAGTCCCACGCTTGTGATTTATCATTGGAGGTTGGTGGATGACAGGGGCAGTTTCCTCTGAGATTCACTTTTAGTTTTCTTGGCACCTGGAAACCACTTATAAATTACAATCAGCTTAAGTATATAAAAATGGAATAAACAAAAGCAACTTTGGGGGTATCATTTAAAAACATCATAGTAAAAAGGGTGTATTTACAATCAAATAGAACTAACTTGCTGACTATAGATATGTAGAAACTTGTATGTGCATGCTGAATTGGTACAGCACTACTGCATACATAAAGTTCACAAACAGAAGTTCTCTTTTCTGATTCACAGAATACTGAAATCATCATGCAGAATATCAAGTTGGATGACCTTAGATCACATGAAAAGAAGCAGAACTAGCAGAATGTTCATCTGCTGAATGTACCTCATTATGGCTTTGAAAAGCAGCTGATGCCCTCCCTCCACGTGTATCCCAAACATGAATGGTCCCATTTCTAGTTGCGCCAAACACTGTCTGAAAAAAACATATTTTATAAGTCCACATACATGAATGGATGAACTGTAAACTGTTCAAGGTAACAGAAAAAGCAAACTGCATAAAAACAAAAATAGCAAGATTAGCCTCTTGTTTACCACTAAGTTTGGAAAAAGCGTATTTTGGTCGATCATACAGTAGATATACAACATATCAGCAGACATCACATTACATCATATTAGGTGGTATTTACAAAGCAAGACAGAATCTGAAACATAGGTTAGTGTATAAGAGGACAGCATTAACACAGCTAAACAACTGTTTTTATAAAACATCAGTACTTAACATGAGAATTAGGATAGGTACATACTATAGAACAACAAATATTTAACATGATAATTAGCATACCCGATTATCCATATTTAACTTGACACTGGTAAATTGAGATTCTGGGAGTGCTGTAAGCTCAACACAGTGTGTCTTACTTAGCCGCCTGTCCCACATGTAGACTGCACCATCAAGTCCAGAAGCAAATAGCCTACAATGGTGAGCCAGTAAGTGGAAATTTTATGCATAATTTCCAGCTAGAGAAATCTCGTTAAGAATATTGGTATTTTGGTGCAAATATACATAGCTTATGCCTCCCAAATACTAGTTTTTTCTGGTTTATTAGGCCCATGCATATCCCTAGATCAGCAATTTGACCAACATAATACAAGTTATATATTACAAAAATTATACCATTAGAAACTTCAAATGTTCTAGTTTCTAATTGTATAACTTTTGTGATATATCATTTATATTACAGTGGTAAAATTGACAACCTAGAGATACGCGACCTATAAACTGGAAAGGAGGGAGTACCAATATATTGTAAGGTGGTAACAGTGTTGCCAGTACACTTAGTAATTAGCAATGATAACCAAGATCCACTTTTCCACCATAAGCAGAATCTAAACTCTCACAGTACAGATCGACACCAACCAGAAGCAGAATCTACATACTCTCTTCTTTGGAAACACATCTCACCCCCATCCAGTCAAGTAAAAACTATTACTTTAGTTTTTCATTTATTATCACAACTTCATTTATTTAGCTTCACAACTGCTAATATTTCTTTAGTTTTTCTTGAAGGAAGGGTCAAACCATATTTTCCCCTTTCTATGAAAAGAACAAGAAACATGATATGCAGTCAGTCATTTATACAAAGCATCACAATAGTTGCTAAATAGAAATAAATTATGATTGGCCTTATCACAAGTGACATGACAGTGAAATAAACACAAAACTGTCACATACCGTGACTTATCGTCTGGAGTAAAAGCTAGATCAGTCAAACCCTTCCGGGATTCCGAGCAGAGACCATGAAATTTGGTCTTCCCTTTCTGTAAAACCTAAAATACAATAATTTAAAAATCGGAACAGTTGTGAGGGACGTTGTGTAATACTCCCTCCGTCCCAAAATTCTTGTCTTAGATTTGTCTAAATGCGGATGTATCAAGTCACATTTTAGTATTAGATACATCCGTATCTAGACGAATCTAAGACAAGAATTTTGGGACGGAGGGAGTACAATGAACTACTACAACAAATTTCCTTCTAATGGACTAAGATGTACAGCATCTGGAAGTATATTATCTTGAAATATTATCCAGAAACCTTTTCTTCAGCATTGTGCAATTTTGCTTTTAGTGATGCTGATGGAACCCTGTCTACCTTGTTATATGATGACCAAGGATGAGTGCAGCTTTTTAAAATGGGCGTACCCATTAGCGGATTGGATATTTGTACTGTACCAAAAAACTGGGGGAAAACCCCGGGTAATGTGCCAATCAACACATGGGTTTGCTCAAAATTCCATGGCCATATGTGGTGTTTGGCAGAAACAAACCGCCAACAGTAACAACAAATATATTTTACTGGCATATTTATTTTGGAATTGAAGGAGAAAGAAAAGACTACATGATCTTTGAAATTCTGATGTAAGTCAACATGGAGAAAATATATTTACAGTATCATTGAGTAAGAAGTAAAGCATTTCTTAAGGAACAATGCAAAAGAGGTACTTACTTCAGTCGGAGCAGATGAGACGTACCCAATGTCAAACAGTAAAACTTTGTCAGTTTGGCTAGATGAGCAAACAATCTGCATCAGGCATGCTCAGAGCTCAATAATAAAAATAGATAGAAACCACATAAGTCATAAGCGCTATATTTAATTTATAAAATAAACATAATTGCCGTCCCTAACTGCCAGTTACACTTATCATTCCTCATTGATATTGAGTGCCAAAGTACTTTCTGAACTCAGATAAAATGAAAAAAGGAAATCTCAAATGAAATTCAATGCTGATACTAACCTCGTCTTGATTTCCTGGATTCCATCGGACAGCACACAGAGGCATTGAGTTTGATATATGGAGCACATAATTTGATGAGTCATCTGGTAAACCTACCAATGAATAAGTAATAACAGCAAAATTATGACGAGACCTGAGACAGTAAACTAGGAATAAATCATCTTGAGCGTGACTTTTCCTTGAATATTCTGAGAGGATGTTCTGTTTCATAAATATATGGTTGAGAAACACAGTACACTATCATTTTAACTTTTTGGTTAGCTACCTGGATATTTGGAGTGGTTTAACAAGGCCAATTTATATCAACATATGCAGCAACAGAAAGTACAGGGTACATCCATATTATGGAAATCCTTAATCTGGACGTGGCAAACTAGGTCTATTTTCTCAAAGAGGATGATTCAAACGAGATTACCAGTGTCTTAAAATGATACCATCATTCTTAGGGGAGTTCCTGAAGCTTATTTCATAGTAAGAACTAACAAATGCCTGATGTACATTAAAGCAAAGTTGCCAAGACTTCTATGTACGATTCTATGTTCCTGTTGGAGCATTCCAACCCTGACCCTGCAGGGTTACAATGATAAACTAATGGCTTGATCTTATGATCTACACAGTAACGGTCTTTAAGGTGTCATCCTATAATTACTATATGATTCTACCAACACACAGGCGAATCTACTAGGACCATAATACAGAGAATATTATTTGCAAGGCATCTACTTTCAGCATTTTTCTAGCAAACCGAGTCGGGTAAGTTTAACTTACTACATGATGGGCCATACAAGGAACAGTATAAGGTCTCAAAGTCATGCACTGTTAAACATCCTGAGATTGTCACTGATGCGAGGTATACTCCCTGCACAATTAAAAACATAAGGAAGGTGCTTAAACATTCATGTATCACAGTCTGCTTCAAAAAAGTAATCAATATGAGTTGGTTATACTTGTTAATCCCGCTCAAATGGTCATTTTGTTTTCTTAATGAAACGGACGCTCTGGTACCAGGTAGTTACAGTGTGTGATAATCTACTATTATAAGTACAAAAGGTAAAATGCATAACTCAAGATTTTCATCCTATGCATATGCTTTGTGCAAAATACAGAACTAAAACAATATTTCTAGTCAAACATAGAGTAACAGGAAAGAGATATAGATCTATAATTAACTTCATGATAAACTGGTACCAAGTAGAACAGCACAGAACATTCTTGCCACATACTGGGCAGAGGACAGAGTGGAGTGGAAATATGGAAGTATTAGTTGAATCTGAATGGAAGTAACAGTTGTTCCAGACAGAATGTACTGAATTTCATACACCTCAGGTAGTGAGGCTAAGCTGGGAAAATTAAAATTTTGTATGCATTTCAATGGTACCTTTTTATCAAATTCCATTGCCGAAACCCCCTCCCTGCTTATCAAATTAAATGAAACAAGTTTGTTAGCCTATCTAACAAGGACAAAGCGAGCAATTGAACTGTATTAGGTGATCGTGACACTAGAGATTTTGCAATGAAATACTCCAAGAAAACTAGAAGATAAATGCTGACCTAGCTGGATGGTAACACCCAGCAAATGTTGAAGCATTAATCATGCGATTCACCTAATAGGAGCAGAAGTGGTGAACAGATTAGCCAGATAATATACATTGACTCAGCACTACAAAATACAAACCAGCGTACTTATCAGCATTACATATGTCGGGCACCGTTCCTCGCCATGCGTGTAGTACTTGTGTTCGAAGGTCCTAATCTTCTCAGCATAAAAAGAAAAGTTCACAACATTAGCCTAATATATAAAAAGAGTAGAAATTGCTTCGCTTAAAAAACAAGAACTTGGAAGAAGCGTAGGCACTAATAAAAATTTCTCCATTTTCTGGTACAAATTTCCAAAGTTAACACACAACTAGGATACTTGCCAATTTAAAGAGCATAAACTCTATAACACAAATAGGATTCTGCACAGTTTTAGTGATGATTTATCTGAACTAGTCTCTCAACAATGTTTCCCCAGTGTCCAGGATACTATGATAAGCATCTATGAGTGTTGGGAAGTCATCAGCACAGATTCCGAAATTCCAGTAGATAAAGAAAACAGAAGCTAGCAACATCCTCAAAGCGCCAAGTCCCTGACCATTTCAATGTTCCGATCTACCATAATCCACCACAACTCACTATGAAAGGAAAAATGTGCTGAAACTTAAAACGGCAGCTGTAAGTCTGTAACGCTCAAATTACAAGAAAAGTTTAAGCTTTTCATCCCATTAACCTACTCCAACATTGCCGTCCCATTAGATTTCCTAAGAATGAAATGAAATTTGGAGGATTCCATTTCCTATTTCCGACCCCCTACGCTGTAATTCCAGTCTGAAACGCGACAACCTGAAACAAAAACATCACTCTTCTCGAAATATCTACAACCTCGGCAAGGGAATCGAGGAGACGGCGGGATTCCCGATGTCGAAACCTGGCGTCGACACGGCCATCCAGCTCCACGGCGATACGGCTCCACCGGTGCCACCTACGGACCAGAAGGGAGGTCAGAACACCAAGGAGGCCGGAACAGGTGGGGAGGAAAGGGTCCGAGGTGGAGCACCTCCGAGGCGGCGGTTGTGGCGCTTTGGGGCCCTCGTCGGCGGAAGGCGGCACCGCGACGAGGAACTTGTCCATGGCGCCGCCTGGTTAGGGTTCGAGTTCGACAGATTTTCCCGCCAAAATGAAACAGCAGAGGCGTGGCCGTGAAAAGAAACCGCGGGGCTTTCTCCCTGCGCCATTTCCGATTGGCGGCCGAGGGCGACAAAGTAAGCTACGGAATGACAATTGTAATAACCCCTCAAAAAGAAACTAAATTTGTAATACAGTCATTGTCTGATCCTTTGTTCCTAAGTACTTCCTCCGTAAACTAATATAAGAGCGTTTAGATCATTACTTTAGTGATCTAAACGCTCTTATATTAGTTTACACAGGTAGTACAGTACTATCTACGCTAACTAATTTTCTTAACCTTGCAATCAACAATGCATTGTGCTTATGGAGATGCTTAATAAAATAAATCAAGTTTTTAAGCTTCAATTCTTATTTAAGGGATGCCTAATTAAGCGTCTACCCTATGCAAATAAGCATTGATGCTTAAGAAAATATTGGTCTATTTTTTTAGCACTTTTCCTAGACATCTTGCATTGTACAAGACCTAAAAAAAGTCATGTATTTCACACAAAAATTATTTTAAAGTCTCGAGTTAGAACTTTTGCATTAGTCCCCTGGAAAAAAAATCTTCTGCTTAGTCTATACATGCAATGTTGCTACATCATCAATTTATGCATATTAATTATGCTGCAACTTTATACTACTAAAGCAACGACAATTAATACAGATCAGTACAAAGTTGTACTAAACCAACAAATATTAATATGGATCAGAGGTAGTACTCCCTCCGTTTTTATTTACTCTGCATATTAGAGTTGACTGAAGTCAATCTTCGTAAAGTTTGACCAAGTTTATAGAAAACAATATAGACATTTATCATAATAAATCTATATGATATGAAAGTACATTCAATAATAAATCTAATGTTGTTGATTTGTTATTGTATATCTTAATATTTTTGTTTATAAACTTGGTCAAAGTTTGTAAAGCTTGACTTTGACTAAAGCTAATATGCGAACTAAATAAAAACGAAGGGAGTATTAGATTTTGTATTCTTACCAAAGTAGAAGCGCGCTTTGCCATGCCCGCTTTTCTACAAAGTTTTCTTTACGCTTCTATTCATCAAATCTTAGGTTGAAAGATGACCAGACCGGGCACACCTAGCAGACGGATCACTCTCTCGAGCAAGCAATGGAGGAGAGGTGGCACCGATGAAAATAATAAGAGTGGCATGGTGTGGTGAATTGCTCCCTTCGACAACCAAACGGCTTTGCAATCCTTATGCATAACAATGTTGCTATCAAAGAGTGATATACAGTAGTGCCACCGACTTCATGCAACCACCGATCACATGGGTAATTCCTCATGACCCGCTCAGCCCAGATCTCATCAAAGATAATATGTGATTCACTGAGCCCTGCACGCACACCCCATATACCTGCATGTGGGCTCTAACAACATACACAAGTTTCACAGTCAGATCCCATGCGATGCCCCAACCTCGATGCACCACAATGTCCCTTTCTAGGGAGTTTAGTATTTGTAAATATGTGATTAGTGGATAATTATACCAAACCACACTATCATCTGTTATAAGTTTTGTAGTGCTTTAAATCCAACGATATGTTATATATGCTGCTATAACCACCAAAATTCATCAAAAAAGAAAGAACCGCCAAGGAAAGAAATGGCAGAGATAACACATAAGAAAAGAGATCTGACTTGAAGAGATAAGTACCATGTGCAACATTTTAACTAACATGTAGAGATTTCTCACGTAGTAACATCTTGGAAATAGCAACCTGGATTTGTTTTTATTAAAATAATAAATGAACGAACAATTTGGTTAGTTTGTTTCAATCAAATTAGTTTCGATTACTGGCAATGGTCTCTAGGTTATTTTCCAATCATAGAGTTCCTCATATCCCCTTGTGGAAAGTATTAAAATATTCTATGAAACATCAGTATGTGATCATCACAAAGGCTATAATCCGGCAATAGAGAATACACATGTGAGTGTGCGTTTATTTGGATCTACAAAAGAGAAATGACATGTATTATCCACTAGAAGTATATCTCTTATACCCATATTGCAACGATTTGGTCGAGTGATTCTTAGCAATTGACATTTATGCTTGTTAAAAAGATAGAAATAGGAAATGAATTAACTACAACATGAACATTAGTAAAAGGATCGATATAGTTGACTAGAGGGGGGGTGAAAGAACATATAGTGCCCCCATGTTTGGTTTTGGTAATTGATGAAAATCTCTATGGACTAATGGTTGTCTTGAGTTATATTTGAAGGATTTGTCCATAGGCTTTTCTTGAGGTCCATTTGTTGGTTTCAAGGAGAGTATGTGATGACCAAGGTGCTATTCAAGGAATTATCTAAAGATTGGTCATGTGAGAGGTTGATCAAGACTAAGTCAGAGAGTGAATCAAGCTGATCACCTCACAAAGCGTGCAAGATGTATCGAGAGGGATCAAGTGATCCCATGGTATGGTAAGCATTGTCCATTACGCTTTGTGAACTAACCCATGGTCTGCGTGAGAGTTCTATGTGGGGTTAGGTATGTTTTCATGGGCTTGCGTCAAGAGGAAGATATCATACAATCCATGGAGAGGATGACATCAAGTGGTGATCGTCATCAAGATTGTGGTGTGCAAGTTCAAGTGGAGCATCATGAAGAGATCACGTCCTTGATGCTTGCCATCCATTGTGGTGACAATGTACTTGTGAAGATGTGCTAAGGAGTGGCTCACCCATAGTGGAGTAGGGGGGCAATCTACTAGTCTTCGTCAAGCTAGTGCAATCAAGAAAGGTGGTACAAGTTGAGAGGTCAAGATCTTCATCATATAGCTCAAATGGATTATGCACAAGGCAAAGCTAGCGCAATCAAGAAAGGTGGTACAAGTTGAGAGGTCAAGATCTTCATCATATAGATCAAATGGATTATGCACAAGGCAAAAGTTTGTCCTTTATAGGTTTCTATTTTATAGGTCTCATGGTGTTAGTTGGAGACCGGATTATAGGATCGATAGCCATACTATCAAGGGGGGCTCTTGAGTGAGTAGCTTTTTCGTATTGTTGGTAGAGAGCTCAAACCTTTGCATCTTTGGCATCATATTTCTTGGTTCTTGTTTGGCTTTTCTCTTTGTGAGGTTTTAGAGCTTATGGTTATCTTCGTGACAAGCTCTAGTTCATTGAAAACCGATTTCCTATGCATCTTCTTTTGCGTTTTCGGTGTTGGAGTTTTTACCGGTCTTATTTGAGAAAGGGTTCTCACCATTTTATTTTGAGTATTTTCTCAAATGCTATATCTTGATATTTCTATCAAGATTGTGTTAGCCCCTGTCTTTACCTTTCCAACAAACTTGGTTTCATCAAATTTGGAGTTCGTTTGCAAAAGTTGTGGTCGTTTCAATTTTACCGGTTCCCGCCTCTCTCTGCCTAGTGCGGATGCCCAGGGTCCTTGACCCCCGGGTGCCCGGGGTCACCCGAGCCCCTCCATAGTGACCTCTCTGGCCGATTCGGGTGCCCGGGGTCTCGCCCCCTGGGTGCCCGGGGTGATCCGGGGCGCTCTCTCTCCTCCTCTGATCAACCCGGGTGCCCGGGCTCCTCCGCCTGCTCCTCTCAGCCCCCTCCGGGTGCCCGGGGTTGGGCACCCCGGGTACCCGCCCCCCTGTCGTTGTGCTTCCCTTGTTCGTCCGGGTGCCCGGGGTTTTCCCCCCCGGGTGCCCGGAGTTTAGTGGCTTTCTCTCTGGGTTGTTCGGGTGCCCGTACCCCTTTTGTCTGGGTGCCCGGGGTACAACGACCATATTTTTCTTGGGGTATTTATACCCCCTTCTTCCTCCTCCAACCTAAGAAATCTGAGAAAGTTTTTTCCCCACCATTGTTGACCTCTTGGAGCTTGCTATCTCTCAATTCCTCCATGGATTCTTGCTAGTTTTTGGGGGGGGGGAGGAGAGGAGATCTAGATCCACATTTTCTCCTCTGTGTGAGGGGAACCCCTTGGATCTAGATCTTGAAGTTATTGGTGTTCTCCTTCTTGTTCTTCCTCTCATTTTGATGTAAAGCTTCGGGCAAGCGTCGGGGTCTCCAATTAGGTTGTGGAGATCGCCCTGAGCATTTTGTACGGGTTCCCGTGACCACCCCCAAGGGTTGCCAAAGTGTACGGGTTCGGTGACCGCCCTCAAGGGTTGCCATTTGTACGGGTTCGGTGACCGCCCTCAAAGGTCCCTTAGTGGAATCACGACATTTTGCATTGTGCGAGGGCATGAGGAGATTATGGTGGCCCTAGTGCCTTCTTGGGGAGCATTGTGCCTCCACACCGCTCCAAACGGAGATTAGCATCCCGCAAGGGTGTGAACTTCGGGATACAACGTCGTCTCTGCGTGCCTCGGTTATCTCTTACCCGAGCCCTTTACTTATGCACTTTACTTTGTGATACCATACTATGACATGTTATATATCTTGCGCCCCCAAACTGAACGAACTAGGGAGATGTCACCTGATATTGTTGATGAAGAGTTGTTAAAGTAGCCAAAAAAATGCGTGCTACTGAAGTCGTTCCTCATGAGCCGCTCCGGTGTCGGGCCTCGGGAGGCTCAGAGGGACCAGAAGGCTCCTGAGGGTGCTCCTCCATCTCCGTCTGGATTGCCTGACGCCTGGCCTCGCAGGCCACTTGAGCGCCCCTCATGCAGCTCTGGAACGCCTCAGCCGCGCCCGCCAGGCCGAAAGGCATGCGGACATAGCTGTGAGGCGGTCCCTCGCATCGGCCGACACGAGACGACCACATGAGCTGCCGAGATGTGGCCTGTTGAGCCCAGGGATGTCGATGCAGACGCGGAACTCTCTACCCTCGCTAGGGCAGTGAGCTCCGCCTCGCGGCCGACAATGATCGCCTTGCAGAACCCTTCCTTCCTGAATCTCCTTGATCGCCTCGCTGATGAACTCCTGAATGCCTGGTGCCTCACTCCTGCTGCCTTCTCCTGGGAAGCGTGTTCTGAAGAGCGCCTTC